GCTCGGCGCAATCCCACCCACCCGAGAAATTATCATCACCGAGTCTCCGACCCTGCTTCCGGAACGCGCCATTGCCACTCCCCAAATGACTGGTAGGAAATCCCCAGGAGTCCGAATGACGGCCAAAGCGTATCCTAAAAATATGATCTCGGTGTCCTGGTGAACACTGCCAGAGCATAAAGTCACTCAAGCGCTCCACTCCTGGAGTCCGAACCAAGACGTCAAGTGGTGGGCTGCCTGCAGTGAGCATGTGTTCTTCGAGGGTTTGGGTGGAAATAGTTTCCGGAGAGAGGAATATCAACTGGTCACTGTTTGGAGGGTATGAGGTGTAGGGTCCTGAGACGGTAGCTGGCTTTGTTACCGTCGGTAATTGTTGCAAGGTAGTTGTCGAAGAAAATGAGGACGGTGATTCAGCATCTTGTGCAACAGCGTCAGCTTCCTCACCCGTCAGATTCATTTCTGTATAGTTCGGTTCTGCGCTTGGTGTCTGTTCTCGGATAGTTTGAGCAATCCGAGACTTTGAGAATTGTCGTTTCGCTCCAGTCGACGAGGAGCGGTCCAGCGGCGTACTATAATCAATCACCGTATTGCGTATAGCAGACGTGATTTCGTCTCTGGAAGTATACGGAAAGCAAATGTTGAGAATCGCATCGCCGTTCCGACTCGTGACTTCGACGGCGCGATCAATGGCTTCCAACACATCCGCCTTCACCAGCTCTCTTCTACCCAAGACCCGGACACTCGCACCATATCTATCGAGCAGATCTCCGTGTTGCGACAACTGAGATAATTTCACCTTCGCCATCTCCATCAAGGCATCCACCTCGAACTTTGAGCGCTTAAAGTTCTCAATGCTGAACGCGTATATCGTTACAACTTTGACGCCGGCCTTGTAGCAAACTTCTAGTATCTACAGCAATTTGCGTCAGCATCCCTATGAAGCAGACGAAACTTTCCAAAATGCAAACCCATTGGCAACAGAACATACCTTGGCCAACGCTTCAAACCCTAGATTATGTCCCTCCACTCTCTCTATAGCATGGTTCCTCGCAAACCGCCTATTACCATCCATCACGAACGCCACATGTTGCGGGATAGGTCCTTGCTTTATTGCTCCGATCAGCAGCTCCCGAAGGTATCCGATTCCCCATTCAACTGGCGGCGATGAAGCGAACCACTTTCGCATTTTAGAAAGGTGCATTGACGACGACATGGTGGGTGGTTACTGGTGAGTCTGTCTTCGCTTTCGTCGAGGTAAAAGGTAACTAGTGGAGAGCTGCGGATGGGCGACGCAGTCAAACGACACGGAAATCTCGACTGCTAGGAACCCAGCAACTGGACACCGTACACAAAAACAAAATTCCACCACGCGGTATGGCTTCGTCAACGCTTCCACATGAGCAGTCGGGCGAAGCGTAAAGGTGGGTAGAATAGTTGGAAGTCAAGCTATCGTCAACGTCAAAAGCTCGACGGGCTCAGCAACAAGAGCTTCCTTCAGCGCAAGTAATCGTATCTGCAAGCTCGGGAGGATTGATTGCAAACGACTAATTATTCACGGACCAGCGCGGAATCAAAATGCAAGTTTATATAACAAACACCTGACTAGCTCCTTGTGTTTTGCGAATAGGGGCGCGAGATCGAGGAAGCGGAATTAAACACGGTTCTGTTGGGTGATGTGAAATGAGACAGCCGCTGAAGATACGGAGGACACGTAGTAGCGTTTGGGAAAAGGAAGTCGCTCATGGAGAATGAAAATGCATTCAAATTAACAGTGTTATTATATAAGTTACGTGGTCTTCTCCCTTCGCAAACAAGCTGGGAGTTTTTTTCCCACGAGATCGCATCTGAACAGGCAACTCGAATGCTTTTTTTGGATCCTGCCAGTCGGGGCTTGGCGCTGACGTCTGTGCCGAAGGGGCTGAAGCTCAGCCGGAGACGACGACGAGGCGCAACACAGGGACAGTCAACGGTAGACAGGTTGTAGCAATGCGTATCAGTACACAGATAACTAGGCTAGGATAGATAGTAGTACATTTGCAAAGAACAACATTGAAAATCGCCCTTTTTCTCACGTCCACCTCCCATCGTTTATCCCTGGAAGCCAACCAAAACCAAACGCCTGCTCAAAACTGAAAGGCCAAATCATAGTAGACGCCAAAGATATAACACTAGCTTCTAGGAAGCCGGGGCATAGGGGATTGGAAAACAACTAACAGAACAGGGAAAAGGGAACAAAAAAAGCTAACAGCAATCCTCGAGGAGCGAAAAAGTCAAATGTATATATATCCCAACCCATTACCTTTGCTTTTTAGTTTCCATTCGAACCGGCGACATCGACCCTGAACTTGCCATTGACCATGCACTGTCCTCGCTCTTCCGTCGTCGGCGTCCCCGCTCCCTCATCGCTCCGCGGATGCGCTTCGTGACTTCGTCGAAACTCTCCTTGCTATCGAGCATCGTGAAGGGTTTCATTGCCGACGATCTCACCAGACCACCGCTGGAGCTGCTTCGGCTATGGCCGCCATCACGGCTAGGCGGGCGTGTGGAGAAAAAGCCTATTCTAGCAAGGTCGTGGAAAGATTCGTTCCGTGGGAGTTGATCCTCAAATCATTGAGGCGAATTTGGTCATCAGTACGTGGTGCTCCGTCAACTTGGGCTTCGGCTTTTGCCAAATCGACATCTGTATAAAAGGGCGCCCTTGAATGGGTCCGCAACGATTCCTTGTCGCGTCAAAGTCGGGGTACAGTTCCGGTCCGAAAGTGTTGATGAGATGCGTCACCATTTCTGATAACTCTGCACGTCTGGCTCGGAGTTTATATAGCGTATTTGCAGAAGTTGGGTTGAGTGACAACACCAGCGGCCGCAGAGATTTGAGAATGTCCATTCCAGTCTCCCCAATACGCAGCGCGGCGAATGTAATGGATGGGAAAACTATAACACTGAATAACACCACCATCCAGAGTGGGACCCAGCCCGGAACGTATCCCTGCACGCGATTATGGTAAGTCCAGTAGGTAAGAACAACGGTATAGAAAGCATATGTCAGTGGCGCGATCGCCAGAGCAACCAAAAGCTTCCAGGTCGCCATCACGTCACGACCTTGAATTTTGACACTAGACGCTGCTAGCGCTTCTCTAGACTTCTTAATCGAGATCGTCTTTGTGGCCACAAAGACGGGAGCAAACAGGACTAATCCAGGTAGTGTCCCGATTGTCATGACAGCCAGTTTCAGGAGGCGGTACACTAACGTGCTGATGACCTTCGTAATCGAAAACTTGGCGTATTCGACTTGATGATCTCGAATTCCAAGAAGCCATAGCTGTTTGTTGTAGTCCATTACGGCCTTTTTCGCTTGTATAATTCTGGGGTCGTTCTTATAGTGTTCATACCCTTTGACAAGGCGGCGGTTAAGCTCCACGACAACTGGCAGCGGCAACTTTTTGCCAGTATTATACAACCGTCTTGCAGCTTGGATCAACTAAAAAGATCTCAGAAGTCAGAATTGTTTTACAACGACCCAAGTGCTGCTACGTACCATCAGTGTCTCATAATCTGTACTGGTAACTGTGACTGAAACGAGCGCCTGATAGATCGTATTTAGCAATGTGCCTACTGCTTCACGCCTATGTCCCTCCCGGTACATTTGAACAAGTTCCCGGGGCACTTCAATTGGGTTGCCGAATTCTATGACAGCCCGAGACCGAAATTTATGAGCGTGAAAATAGTTCATTCCACAGGGAACAATTTTCACGGAGCAGTCGGGGTTTTCAGCTAGGGCTCCGAGAGCCATCAATGCAACGCCGGCTATTCAGAATATTAGCGTACGGAGAACTTCATAAATCAAGTTTAGTAGAACATACCTTTCAAAGGTAGCAAATCCGGGCGGTCATGGCTACCTCCCTCAGGGAAGATACCAATACAGCCACCATGGTTTAGAGTATCAAACACCGCCCTGTAAACCTGTGTTTGGTCAATGTGCGGCGCAACCTTGAACTTGGTGCCCTGAAAATCTGAAACGTTCGCATCAGCGTCGCCGGTGAACCGTCCGTCAGGGCTAATGTCACTTCTACCCGTCAACTGATAGAGAGCATCCTTGGTCATGAATGGCTTCTTCAATATAAGCTCTTCAGGCCCGTGTATCTCGCGAATATCAGTGCTTGCAGCCTTCCCGTTCACCGTGGGGAGTGTAATCGTGCCCCCAACTTGAAACTGCGGATCTTCAAAGTTTGTACCGATTCCTCTCAGTAGAGTAGGGTTGTTCACAGGGTCCGGGAGATAAATCGTCCCCTGGCCGGGCTTCAAGTTATCCATCGCTCTAGAGACCGGTACAGCCCCCGCAGTCCTAGCTAGCAGCCCGATGAACCTTCGTTTAAACGACTTCTCGGCGATGAGAAATGCAACTCGCCGCTGTAGCTCTCTGAGCATGACGCGCATTAGGATTAGAGAATCGACAAACTATACAGAAGAAAAACAACGGTCAGCGAAAGTCCGTCAATCAGACCATTCACAAGAAGAAACGGTGGAATAAGTGGCATGAGGCGTATCGTACCTGGTTCGCATGCGGAGCAGCAACCAGAATCACTGCGCCCCTCTTGGGGACCTTCCATGACCCGCGTGGATGCACCTCTCGAAAGAATAAATCGACCAAAACCGAAAACAGCCATAGCATTGTATCGTACACCCATCCCACCATTGGCCGATACGTCGGGGCCTTCGCCATCTGGACTTCAGGACCCTGAATCCGATCGATTTCGAGATCCGGTCTCACGCATGCAGTTGTTCTCCAACGTTCCCGTGCTCCCTATCTCCGAGAATTCTTCCGCAACGCAGCGCCGGCAATATCGACAATAGCTACGCACACAGCAGTCACAGTCGTCGAGATCAAAAAGATTTTGCTATATGTTCGGATGGTTGAAAATGGCGGCAGGGTCTTTTGTAGGTTGCTCAAGACACGGGAGCGATCGCCTTTTCCCGGGGACTGTATAAAGGAATGCGAATCAATACCAGCGGTCTCGACAGCAACTTTGTAGCAATATTAACCGGCAAACGGAGGGAATAACATACAGGAAATGGCATATTCTTCCGCCCTGTGGTTATATATAGAAAGTGTCGGTCGGGGGTGAAAAAAATCAGTTCTAGAACATGCGCTCGGTAGGTCTGGGGGCAAACCGGGACGTTTAGAGTCGGGTAAGTCGAGGAGACGAGAGGACGGGCCGGGTGGAAGAAACCAAGGTTGAATCACGAAGGTCAATCATGTCATTTGAAGCGGCTTCTTCGTGTGTTTTGTGGACAATGACGACAGGACTGGACCGAAACGCAGAGGCTGGGGGAAGATCGCGCGGGAAAACAATGCTTGGATCGAAGAACCCCGGCTGTTGTCACTGGATGGGAAAAACGGTGACATGAACTCAAGCCAAAAAGCTATTAGCTAGTTATCAGGCTGAACCTTGGTCCCAACAGAGCAACAGGGTTTGGCATTTATCAACGATAAATACGGAGTAGTATGTAGTTAAATGTACGAGAATAGCTACTCCGTAGACGGCGAATACATGTAGGAATAAGCAACGATGTTTGTCTCCAAAGTAGATTCCTCCAGCAAACTGAACTTATCTAGTAGTTATAGCATGGACTCCGTAGTCTCTCAGATACATTGATCTCAGTGTACTCCGAAGGGGTATGCATAAATATGATGCTTTCAGTCAAGCGCAGACATGACGCACCTGCTAAAGCATAGACCGTTTTAACACCAGCGAGATCCGGTTCTACCACAAGCCTGAGCATCACATTTACCATCTCTCAGCAACACCTGCTGGCTACTCGGAGAGAAGAGGACAAGAGGACCGTCTGTGCCTGAGAGGCCAAGTCCCGTTCCGCCAGGAGGAATAGTTTCCCCCGTAGTCCGTGGTTATGCCCTTTGGTCAACCTCGAAACTCCCGAGGAACCTCCTCCAGTTGAATATGCTTCTTGAAGCCTCTTGCATCTCAGGCAGACACCGGGTTTGAAGCTAAATCGAGCGTGGATTCGGCATCGTGCGGGTAGTTAACGGGTTTTAACGACCAAACCTCGGAGTGCATCAATCTGAATGAAACATGTGTTAAAGCGCATTTCACTGCTGCTGGACCCCATAAATAACTAGTGGATACTCCGTACGGAGAGCATCGAGTTGAGTTGATTTGCTTTTTCTCGTCTTCGCAACCGCTTGGTCAAGCCCGACCCAATCCAGTGGTCGTTGGAACCAGCTAGATTTTGACGGCCACCGCGGTTAACGACATCCATAAAGTCTATGCACGGCAAGCTCACGACATCGCAAGTGAATGTGGATTGGTGGCTGCGAGGAACATCGACAAACCAAGGAGGCCCTCACAACCAAAAGAGCTGGTTCCGATTTGATCTTGTGGCATAAACCACGGCTTGCCTCAGCTTCAGAGCGGATCAGTTGCATAAATGTCTAGCGCAAAGTCTCTGGTACATTGAGGATAAATCTCGCAGGGTGAAGGATTCGTCGCTATTTCTCCCAGCTCTTGTTTGTAGGCCGCCAGGCTCCAGGGCACCAGACCATTTGTGCTGCGAAGAAACGATCTGTAGGCATACAAGCCAAACCCTGGGCGGAAGGGCAGCCGATATCGTGACAGACTTCGACCCCTCCATGGATGTGATGCCCAGACTTCCGTCAACCGCGTTAAGTGCGCCAAATCCCAAATGCTGTCCGTCAATGTGATTAAACCCTCCAGTGATTCCAGAAATCTGCATTCCGAGCATTCCTCACGAGTGAAGGTTGCCTGCATCCGCCGTTCTCCAGAGCCAGCTTCCCCCGTCCACCATCCCACTGCCAGCAGACAGTTCATTTGACAAAGTCTCCTTTTCGCTTCTCCATCCTGCACTCCTCGCCCCGTTGCTAATCGCATAGTTTCCGCTAACTATTAAAGCACAACAAGCAAGCAACGGCACTAGTACACTCGATCAAAGGCAATCCCAGCCGCTGCAGCCCGCTGTTGGCGATCTAGCCCACTTCGACAGCCCTTCGAGCTCTTGAGGCGCGTTAACCTCGCTTTCTTTTTCGTTTTTGGCGGCAGGAATCAGCTCTCGCAAAAACAGCCAAGGGGCTTCTGGTGTCGAGGGTCTTTCCAGCAATCAGAGTCGGTGGGCGTCCTCTGTCAGGACTACCGTAAACATGTCTATAAAGTACGTATTTCCTCCACTTTCTCCCACCCGCATAAGATACGGTCCCTGTTTGGAAATTTTTGTCCGGACACACATACATACATATATGCACATATCTGCATACATACCGATTCACGAACTTGGTTGCTTTTGGTTTGTTTGAAGCATCTTGTTTGCGCACAGCATGGGCCGCCCCCCTTCCCCGCAGAAACCTCCAAAACAGTCGATACTAAGTAGGCTACGCTCAAATAGCTGGGTGATGCTCCATGAAACGGACGGTTTCGTGCGTCTACCAAACGAGCGGGTCATATATACATCACCCCCGCGCACCAGCCTCAGCCTTCGAAACCTCAATCCACGCCCAGACGACGAATCGTTGGCGATACAAAGCAGCACCGGTCGTGTTCATCTCACGAATCAACGGGTATGTATATGTCATTCTCAGTGAAATCGAATACGTTTGGGCTGACAATCTCTAGATCGTTTACCTCCCGTCGTCTCCCACTCCTGAGTTTCAATCATTCTCTGCTCCGCTCTTAAACATCCACGACACTCATGTGTCAGCCCCTTTCTTCGGGCCGAATGTATGGACCTCTGTGATTCAGCCAGTGGTTGGCGGTGGCATCCCACCATCAAACATAGCCGTTCAATTGAAAATGACATTCAAGGATGGTGGCGCCTTCGATTTTCATTCTGCCTTTGAAAGAATAAAAGAACGATTGCAGCAAGTCGTTGAGCAGGCTCGGGAAACCGGATTGATTTCCGGAGATAGTCGACCCCAACGTGCCGGCAACTATAACGGAGTCGATTTTGCCGACGTTCATCTCGAGGAACTACCTGCCTACGCACCCCCCAAGCCACAATCCGCTGCGCAATCAAACCCTGAGACCGCCGAACCATTAATGGCAAGTTCTAGAGAAGAATTTGAACCGCCGGCCGAGCCTCCGCCGGGCTACGAAGAAGCTCAGCAGCAGGGCGTGGCGAATGAATTTGAGGATCGCCTTCGTCGAGCTCAATGAAGCATGGAGTCTTTTTCCCATTCTCATTCGTTGACATCCAGCATTTGGTCCATTATTGTGTTAGAAGTACAGGGCTTCGCGGTTTAAGAGGCCCCTTATGCATAGCGAGCGACAGACATGTGTATTCTATATCCCCCTAATGATCTCGTTCGCCGTATAATAAGTCAGGCCTTCGATCTCCAGGCTGATCGCGGCTTGGTGTTCATGTATCTCTCAGTTCCTAAACTGCCCCTATCTTGGGGAGAACTGACATTCTCTATTTCCTTCAATTCATATCGTGGCAGGCATCCATTCATGAAGATGAGGCTGCCTCTCACTAATCTTTCTAGAAGCTCAGGAAACTTGCTGGCACCCATTCAAAGAAGCTTCTCAAAGTTCTGTAGCTGAGATATTAAAGGGCATTCTGTTCAGCTGGTTCAATGACCTCTGATGCTTTGTCTCTCAGGAATTTCAACAAGCAGTGAAATGTAGATCCAAAAGATACCAGTGACGACTGCCGGTGGAGGATCGATATAAACGCTAAGCCCTTAACTAGTTAGTCAGCGAGGATAAATATATATTCCGTACTGGCCAATCATGTTCATTAAAATTCCAATCAACCAATCACGCCCGCTCCCTCCTGCATTACCGCCTTAGTCATCCTCGCGGCCTCACAAACCCGAAGTCCTGCAAAACGCAAGCCCAAGCCAACGTTGACCTTGCCCTCGATCTCCCTCTGCAAGTCGCTGTCGACCCGACGACGTCAATTGATCGCCTTCGCTCTCATCCCTCTTTCCCCCCGAGCCGAGCCTTAATCCCCCGGCTGTCGTTTACGCATTGACAACAATGGGTCTCTCGGAACTCTTCGCGGACTTTGTGAGCGCCGTCGGCTTCACAGAAGTCCAGGCTGAAGCGCCGCCCGCCGAGGAGGAGACTCCCACTCCCGCTCCGGAGGCGGAGGAGGAAGCGGAAGAGGCACCGGCTGAAGAGGAACAGGAAGAGGAGGAAGAAGAGGAGGAGGAGGAGGAACCAGAAGATATTCAGCCGCAATTGGAGCAAGGTGAGTTTTTATCTTTTTGTTTGCTAACTGCGAGATCAATTGGAGAGACGAGATAGGGAGCTGTCGGATTGCGGATGTGAAACTTGACTCTTTATGGCCGGCTTTTTGCCCCAATTGCAGCGGGGAACCTTTTACACATTTGGCTAACTCTTCCCGCTTTATGTAGAGTGCGCCAACTCTAAGCAATGTGCCCCATACAAGCACCACTTTGACGAGTGTGTCGAGCGAGTTACCCGGAACTCCGAGGACCCTGATTTCAAGGGCCCCCACGAAGATTGCGTTGAGGAGTGTAAGTGTGCTTCCGCACGAAATGTTGCATGATACCTACAATGGCCGCAAATCGGAAGCGTGCAGTAATTCTGGTATAGACGTACTAATACTGTTTGAAGTCTTCCATCTCCAACACTGCGCAACCCAGTGTGCCGCCCCCAAACTCTGGGCCGCTCTCAAATAAACAGCCAACGATGGCCTGTCGACTCTCCTCCCCTTCGCCTTATTAATGCGATCACTCGACGCGGTGTCTCCTTTTCACGCCATTTTAAAGACTGTGGAAGGGCTACGAGTGAGATACCAAAGTCGCGGCGCCTTGGACATTTGGTGGAAGCGGGAGCGTGTATACATTACAATTGGTGCCTAAATATCACGATATTGGGACATGCGAACGGGCCGTTTCGTGTGTTTAGCCTGCCTTTCATTGCGTGTGTATCTGTTTGCGTGCCATGTCGGTTTCCCGTTTCTCACTGGTCTCTGATTCGGCATTTCTCAGTTACTCTCCCCCGTTTTTCGCGTTTTATATCACAGTTAGACTCTCCCGAATTATGTACAGATAAAAAGAACTTTTTGACCTCAAAGCATAGAACGGCGGACTATTCTGATTTACTTGTTGTCCTGATATAGTTTGATTTATTCATCGCCATCTTGCTGAAAGAATGTTCCTTTCGTCGGATCAACTCGAAATGGAAAGACGTCATGGTACACGAGATATACGGGAAGTGCATCATGCAGATAAGATTACTTTATTATTGCATTAATTCTAGCTTTATCTCAAGCCGAGGACATTAAATGACACACACTATGGGAAGCTGCACAGGAAGCTCTCGCTAATATCGGAGAAATACCGCTCGGACATAGGTCAAAGATACTGAAGATACAGATCGTCGTAAGATCTTGAAACCTCGAAATACGCAATAGATCAGTCGGTGGGGTTCGGAGTCTTATCTCACTTCAGCCATTTGGGGAACACCCCAAACGCTTTACTTCGACTCCCATCCTCCACAGCGGCCGTAGTGGTCACATTCTCTTCATCATCAAGCCGGCCTCTATCCAGCAGCTCAGCCTCCAATCTCCGCTTCCTCACCTCCCTCCCAAATAGTCCCAGACACAACGGTGCAGGAACCACTACAGCAGCCATAACCGCCTGAAAAATAAGCGCACGCTTCATATTCCTCGGCGGATCTGCGTCCGGTCCCGCCTTGAGTGCATTTTCCACCAGGATAAACGCCGCGCCGAATATCTGGCCGCCTACCCAGCATAGCGTGCTGGGGATTTCGGGGGAGATTGGGTAGGTGATTTCGACGAGGTATTCGAGGATCACGGGGAGTATCGCGAAGCTAGACGCGCCCAGGAGCGCGGCGACCACGAACGGCGCGGCAACGCTGGGAGATTCGGGCGCGAAGATGAAGCCGATATATGTTGCTGCGACGATGGGCATGAGGAACTTGACGGTGCCGAGGTGGTGTTTGTGCTTGTCGGTGATGGGGGAGCATATTGCGGCTGCGGCGAGGCCGACGAAGATAAGGAGCGCGCCGGTGATGCCGGCGTCGGTTTCAGAGAAATTGTGGGGTTCGAGGATCTGGTTGAGGAGGGAAGAGATGCTGTTGAAGAGGCCCACGTATATGCCAAAGGGGAAGAAGATGAGCCAGAACTCGGGAGTGCGGAAGACCTTGACGAGGCTTTGGGTGAGAGGGATACGGGTGACGTTGAAGGCGGCGCTTGGTGGTGTGGGAGGGAGGGATGGGATGAAGAACGACGGAACGCATGCGACAGTTGACTGGCGCGATTCCTTAGTACATAGTAACTAGATATTGTGAGCTCGCGGGACACTTACTATTATTGAAACGTAGAGGACCATATTCGGAACCTCGCTGGGTTTGGTCGCCCACATTGGACCGATCAACTGTCCCAATGCGCCCCCGAGGGGGTTCGCCAACGTCGCAACCGCCGTCGCACTGGTTCGCCCACGATCGCTAAACCATGCATCGCTATATCTGGTGGGAGCAGTCAAGACGAACGGTTGCGCGAATCCCACAATGATCTGGCCCAGCATAACCACCCCGAAGATCCCATCCTGCGCCTTTGTACCGGCGTAACGGATCCAATTCCCGATGAGGAGCAACGCTGCGCATGCGACGATGGAAGGCTTCGGTCCTCCTTTATTCAGGGTCCAGATCACGGCACTTTACAACATTTTGTTTAGCCCGGGCAACTCAAGCTGATCGCGATCGGAGTGGGATAACTTGAAACTCACGGACTCGCAACAGCAAAGGCGAAGAGAAAACCCGTGCTCAGCCAATTGATTGCTCCCTCGGAGACCCTGAAATACTGGGACGACGTTTTCGAGACCGCAGAGAAAGTAAGCCACTGTGCGACGTTGTCAGCGTGGGTACCAATTGAAGAGATCTCATCAAGGAGAGATCTGTCACCACGGGACGCTGATCCACGAGGGATGGGCGCCCAGGGCAAAAACATACGTCCCAGCTCACGACGATATTCAGGAGAACTAGCTGTGCCAGACCGAAGAATCGTCGTTTATACACCTTGTAGCCTCCTTCATCGTGCACGAATGAAGCCCCTGAAGTGGTTGAGCGGTCTGGCGCTCTGACGGACCCCTTTAGAGATATCGCGTCGTGGGCGGCTGGATTGCACTCCACGTTGCTTGTGCGGTCTGGATCCATGCTCTCATCACCATGACAGCATGTCTGGGGTAAAGAGTGCCGATGGGATGGAGGGACACTCCAACCTTAAGAGCAGAGATCCAAGATGCGGAGGTGAGGCCCCTTCCACTAGTTAACTAACCGTCAAGCTTCTTGGTGCAGCAAACAGCCGATGTCTTTGAACATGTGAAGGTGAACCACAGGGATCTCGCGTGACCCATGTCCATTCTTGCAGAGATGTGATTTTCAAGTTCTGCACTTCTCTTTACCACAGGCTAAATTGAAACAACAGATCTACTTGCAAAACACGACTGCTAAAAGTGCAAGCGGTCAGGAGATGACTGTTTGATTGGCTTTGAGAATTCTTATCACTGGTAATCATGATAGGCAGCATTAGAGGAAGATTCAATGGTACATGGAGCCTGCAACCATGGCCTTGCCTGCCGTCGATGCTCCACGCTCAGCCAAGACCAGCATGGTGAAGCAGGTCTCAACTGGAAGACTGTCAAGCGACAAGTGGACTGGAAGTGGAACAGGCTCAATAGATTGCAACCTTAACAGGCACGCTTTCTGCTGACGAGCCTGCCGAAGGTTGTGGTCAAGACTAGTCAGGCCGTCTCTGGCTGCAGCAGGGTTAAGGCAGAATGGGCATCTCGGGAGCAGCGTGACTGATGAGAGCCTGGAGGGAGCCTGGCCGAATATCTCCTGATTCACAATCAGACGAAAGCTGTTAGGAGTTCATTTCAACACATTGACCGGCTAAGAGAGGAAGAAGAAGAAGCTGAGTGAAAGAACAGATGATACAGGAATGACTGGTTATCCAAGTTAAGCATAACTAAGGATTTTCTTGTCTAAATCCGGCCTGATCAGGCCTGGGATATGTCCTCCTATTAGGATCCCAAATAATTCATTCATCCTTCACACTTCTCTTACCGCTCAGCAATGCAGCATGGGGTCCCAGCGCCGTCAAACATTCTTAGAGGGCCTCATCAACTTCCCTGAAGCGGCACCCTTGACTACCGGTCAACGCTCTCAGGCCAAGGAGGGATTTGAGCGCATTATCGAGTACTTTGGCAACAACAGCAGTAGCATTGGGCTCCCGCAGCAAATATAAACCCCATTTACTCATCCGCTACACCTATGAATATTCGCGGTCTGAGTTGTCCAGGGATATGTTTTTACGTTACTTCTTCGGATGTTTAGAGCATGACATCGACGATCATAAAGAAATCAAGCTCGATGAGAACTTACTTGATAATTTGAAGAACTTCGCCGACACACTGCTGGATAACTTGTATTTGCCCTGTCAGCCCTCCCTGCCCATCTCTCGCTCCATATTGCCAACTCTTGTACAGTGAAATCAGGTGGCGCAAAGACTCCGCAACCTTCCCCTGCGCACCTTTCGGCGATTCAAAGGATGCAAGGGCCGCATGAATTTGTTGGCACACCTGAGCGAGTCGCACATCTTCAGGCTCAATGCCTCACCCGCGACCACTATCGCTGTGTGATCTCACAAGCATTTGACTACGAAGAGGCTTCAAGGCGTTTATCTAATGATCCAGGGGCTTTAGATGATGAGGAGGCAGAACTTCAAGACCAGCCCATTGACATCTTAGAAGTAGCCCTTATAATCCCCCATTCTATGACACAACTAAACACAGATTCTGGCCTGGTGAGTCACAGTTCAAGCAGATGTTCATGTTCTTGGCTGAATCACGTCACAGTCCGAGCCCAAAAAGATTGCACTTGGGATTCTTAATATAATCGACTATGATGTTGGCCACCTCATTGGCAGTACTGATATTGATCAGCCACAGAATGCTATGAGTCTCACTCACACATTCCATGTTGCATTTGGCAACTTTGATGTCTTCCTGGAAGCTGTTGCTGGCCAGCAGCATACTTACCACATCAAGAGCCTCAACCCTGTTAAAGCAAGGCTACTCAGGCTTCCCTTAACGCGCAAACTCCTTCTCAGTAAAAGCCAGTTGATTGAGCCCCCTTCACCCCGGCTACTCGCTTTACACCGGGCCATTGCCCATATCCTTCATCTATCCGGGGCTGGTGAATACATTGATAAAATCCTACGGGATTTTGAGGAGGCCGGGGTCCAAGAAGATGGAACCACAGAATTGAGCCGTCTGGTGAACTGGAAGGCCACTGGTTGGCTAGATGGTTCAGTTGAAGTGTAGAGCAACTCTGCGAGATTCTTTGCTTGTGAAGCCAGGTGGCGGGCAGAGCAAAAGTAGGGAGCCGGTAATATTTGCAAGACGGTACAGTCGGCTATACCGGCCACATTCTCGTTATATGGCAGGCAGAGCTCTGTGGATGCAGACGCACAAATGCCGCGGGTAAAAACAGCGTGGTTTTAGACAACATTCTGAATATTCGCGTCTTTCCCCGGAAGGGAAGTGCGGCGGTCAACCTCCACGCTCTGCACAAGACTTTGGGCAAGTTGCAAAGCACTGTCGGTCACGATAGCGGCATTCATAGGATCGATTCAGCATTATCGTTTCGAGCCTCAGAAGTCGGCGGTGGCTGCTTAGGAAGAACCTGCTTCTCTGGTGGGATAAGAGCCTTGCATCACACCACCATAGTAGCCAAATTGAAGCCCGGTCCATGAAGAGGTAAGCCTTCAATTACATGGTTCCGGCCCGTCCCGCTATCCGCAAGTGAAATCTATGTTAACGTGCAGATCCAAAATGAAGGGGCAAAACTTCGCAAAATCAAAGCTGATCTGGAGAGTCTTCGGAATACGATTGTGCTGCTCCGTTGATGCTGTATATATGTTCCAACTTTGGTATTTTACTTTATGAGACCGTCTGACCAGGAACCAGAAATTGGCTAGTATCAAGCCCACTGATCTCTTGTTCATTGACATCAATTGTTAAGGGACAGTTGTTGGCAAATGTCCAATTTCCATTTTCAGTCAGAGTGAGAGCGCCGATTCTATCGAATTTTTGTCGGTATAACTGGATGTAGATGTCACTTATTTGAGCATAGAGGTGTCGCCGTTTCTTCCGCTCCAAAGCACTGAGTTTTATTGAATATAATGTGTTCCCGTCTATATATTCGATAATGAGAAATGGAAGGCCAAGGATATTGTCACCGGTAATCGAGTAGCTGTGGATGCGAGGAATAGGAATGGTGGTTTTCTCCATAACATATCTAATTTTGGTCAGCATCATGAAAGATGAACTACCTGCTTGGGAGCATTACTTCATTGTCGCAATTTCACTCCGCATCTTCTCTTCCGGAAATGCCAATCGGGGGAGTAATGGAATCCTGATCATCCATTTCTCGCCCTCATCCTTGAAAATCACCGGGATACAAACATTTGTAACTTCCTCTTTTCCACTCTCCAAGGATACAGCAGGCTGCTTTTCTTGGATGACATGATGAGGCCAGGTCGCATACTTTCACGGGGTCAATTGCAGCAACAAAATCATCACAAGCCGCATCAATTCCATGTTTAGTTATCTGATCCATGGGTTGTAATGAGGCTGGAGCCTGGAAGATAGAGGGTAAACAGTGGACAAGGACGTCCCGTGGTTACTTAAAGCATGCAGTTTGCTTTGTTTGCATATTAGCGCACTAAGCCCCAATTGGGCATTCTCGGGAACCATGTTTCCCCGGCTGCCGAACGTGCGTCTGCCCCTTAAGTTACATAAGCGAAGGCATCCATGGACCACGGACCATGGTTCTCGCAGCTGGCAGCCTTTCTTGTGCATCATCGATGAACTCTCGCAGCTCCGAACTCTTGCGGACCTGGACGACAGGGGTGGCGGATGGCACCCTGTTGACTCTTTCGAAAAAAGAAAATATCTCGTCCGTGGATGTCCCTTGAAGCTATTCCAATCTCCGGCTTAGCCTTGCCCGTCCGAGAAATTTCTCAGCCCAAAAGATAACCCCTAACTATATAATAATCCACCATGGCGGAAGCTTTCCTGTATCACTCAACCTGCTGAACATCCTGGTTCGCGAACAGTGATGATGATGCTTGTAATTGTCCTTGGCCAGCATTAGCAGTTTTCTCCCAAACACTTTTACTCGCAATCATGAATATCCCAAGCTATCGATCGAGTCTGTCTTCGTACCCCGATCCACAAAATTTCTCCTCTTCTATTGCACCAATGCCGCCGCCACCGCCATCCAAAGCTCTGCTTGAAGGGTATAGAAATGTCCTTGACTCGAACGAAGATGAGGCCCCCAGGTACAACCCGGTAGGTACTGCGACTCCTATAGCTAGGTCAAGGATGCACTGACCAACATTGGTGGCGTTCAGCTCAACTACTCGCACCCTCGGAGCTCCGTCCTCCTAAACGCTAGCGATCCGGTTGCCATGCATCTGCTGGCGGAGACTGCCCTGACAGACAGTATGCAGTTCGAGGTCCTGTCGTTTGAAGAGGTCGAAGAGCTCAAGAAGGAATTGCTTCTCTTGTCGAATCGCATCGAGGCTTCGAAGCGCAAATTGACCCTTGAGATGAAACTGCAAGAGGCCGCGTTCTCGTTGAGCAAACTATATGACTCGAAGAGTAGTAGAAGGGGGAGCTCGGATACGAGCCCCGAATCATCGCCCAAGTCCCACCGCAGACGGATCAGCTTCTTTGGCCGTCACAGCTTCCAGAATCGTTCGGACGAGGAGCTCTCACTCAGCGTGCGCCGTTGCGAGGACATAGCCCAGGAGCTCTGGAAGCTAGAGAGAAGAGCCAGTGAGATTAGAAGGAGGATCCTGGAGCATACCGCCGGAGTTTTGCAGATGACGCACAAGGGACTCAAGAAGAAAGGCGCCATCCGGCAGGAAAGAAACAGTGACATGGCTGAGTTCGATGAGCGCAGCCTCTACAGGACTCCAGAATATCTGGACGATTTCAATAGAGGCCATACTCGCAGGGACTTTCCTACCGTGATTGCTGTGGAAAGAAATTCCGTGAGTTTGGTCGCACTACATGACGCGAAAAGGAGGCTTGATGAGTCGAACTCTCGTCTGCGGAATATGATACTTCGGGCTAATCCCGACCAAGATGTTGACTATATCCAGGAAAACTCCAATGGAGCCCCTGCTGATCCAATTATTGCTGTACAAACAAGCCTCGACACCCTAGACAGGGGCTTAGAATCAATGGCCATTCATCAAGACAACATGCCTCAGGAGACGGGAGGTTTGGCATCCGAAGCCGAGAGACGGTTAGATAAAATTAACAAGCGACTTGATACTATTCTAATCGCCGCGGGTTCAACTCGACCTCAGCTCACACCGCGCACCTCGACGTTCACAAAATCCCTCAAGGAACAACTCGATTACCTTGACCAGGTCGTCGAGGATGCAGATAAGCGAGTCGAAAACCTCACAGACCAAAAAACAATCTTAACCACCCAAATTCAACAACAAAGAGAACTCAATTGCAAGTCCGATGCAGAGCGGGACGCCCACATAGCTGACCTTACGGAAGAGATTGTAATTCTGCGAAAAGATCTGGACCGCTCGCGAAAAGAAACCAGCGCCTTGAAGCAGGAACTAGATGACGCACGCCAGGAATCTTTTGTTCGGGAACAGGGACAGTTCGCCGGTGAATCCTCAACTATTCTCGCAGAGAAAGAAGCGAGGCAAGAAGCAGAGATGAGACTGGCTATGAAAGAAAACGAAATTGCGAACCTCGAAAACAGTCTACACAAATTCACGCAGGAGCTAGAAGACAGGGAACAAATTTTAGCGTCCAAAGAAAACCAAATTGCTAGTTTCGAAGAGTATCGAAACAGGGTCAAGGATGACTTGGACGCAGCTGAACGGGAGCAAGCCGCTAAAGAAGATCAGATCGCAAGTTTGCAGAGTACAATCCAACAATTACGCTCTGAGAAAGAGCTTGAAATGGAAAACGCCCGGCAAGCAGGGGGAGACTCTAGACAGGAGCTGCAGAAGCTCCAGTCCGATTATGCTGAGCTAGAGAGTGAATTGGTTAGGATCCAAACCGAGCTCACGATGGCTCGAGCCGAACTTGATGGCGCTTATGGAAGTCGGGCGGAACGTGCAGCACAGGTTGCCGCTAATCCGGCCATTCAGAAAGAAATGGATGAATTGAAACAACGTAATATGAGCCTTACTGAAGAGCTCGCGCGCTGTTAACAATCAACAAACCAGCAAAAATGTTTCCGGATCATCGGAGCTTCAGGATCGTGTCCAGATGTTGGAGAAGGAGCTCCGGGAAACGATTGATGATTATGAAGCGATGACTAAAGCCAGCATTGAATTTGAAAAGGAGAGGGATAAATTCGAGAGTATCTTGGATTCTTACCGAGATCGTTGCGAGTCTCTTGAGATGCAGCTGGGGGACGAAAGAATTCAAGCCATGGGCACCCGAAGAGGGGATGGAACGCCGACGGAGAGCACGTCGATGATGGTATTGAAAAATGAGTTCAAGAGAATGATGCGAGATACGAGAGCAGAGAACTTGAAGATTCTGAAGGTAGGCTTCACATCTCGCTTGGATTTATTTGAGTCGCTCTGCTCACCACTTTCCTTTAGTCCGAACAAGAAGAACGTCGCAGACTTGAGGCATTGATTCGTACACTTAAAAAGGACACTCAGTCCACCGGCAAGTCAAATCTAAGCCAGAGCACCGTTGCGTCCTGACGCTTATGAAAACCTCTATCAATTTCATTCAATTTTGGTTTCTTCGTGGGGTATTTGATTTTGCATATCGATGCAAGAGTATTGCAACTGGTATTTTGAGTTGATCACTCATAGTTCTTCTGGTGTTTAACAAGGGGATGATATATACGCACAGCCGGTTTTGCGTCAAACTGACATTCTCAGCAATTATCTCTGCATTTTTCTGGTGAATTTTGGGTATGGATTATCGGTTTTTGGGCGTCAAAGCATCATGCTTTCCCCGTCACTGGTCCCCTAATGCTTGCCTCACTGGCAATTGTTCCTTCCAGCTGAAATCTTTAGCGGTTGAAGAATTAATATGTTTAGACTATACGCATTACTTCTCACTGCTTGCTCTTAGGACTTGATTGGACTCCGTAAACGAGGACTTTGATAGCTCTTTTTCCCCCTGTAATTGGGGAACTTCGCTCGTTCATCCCTACTAGCATGGCGTCTTCTACATCAGGACGGCCACCACTCGTTAACGCTGGCTGCTCCCTCTCTGAACATGCACGATCGCAGTCCTTCACTGAAGGTGCAAGCCCGCCTCGAAGCAGGCTCCGCCGCACAGTCTCTCTTCGAGTAGCGAACGCACATTTAGACTCATCGGAGTCGATTCCTAGTGACCATAGCTCGTTACACAACGGATTCCTCACCAGCTTCGATGGATTTGAAGACGATAGATTGCCCGGGGAAGGAACCGGAGGTAAGAAAGAGGACGATTACGAATTCCAGGCCAGGCACGCCGGTAATGGGAGCTATCTGAAGGGCGTATATGGCACTGCACTTCGCAGCGGGTGGCGGGCCCATGTCCTTGAAACGATTAGCGAACATCCAAATCCTTCCACAACGGAAAGGTTCGACTTCAACGTTATCTCAGGGGGCTTCTACGATCAAAACACAGTTCGTTGAGAACATGCTCATCTTCCGGAACTTTCATACCTGGAAATCGATATGGGAATAAGATCTACTCCCTTGACGACCTCGACGTTCCTTCTTTTCGCCCTAGATTTTCTTTTTCTTCACTTCCGCCCGAGCTCCGTCGATCGGCTCGCTTCTCATCCTCGTACGGAAGCTTTCCTGATCAGCTCTGGCTGGACGAAGGTTCATCTCCTGTCGAGCCGATACAGCCTATATACCCTCCTCCCACTCGATGTATTACACCTCCTGGGCTTCCGTCTTTTGGGTCGCCGGAAGCACTTCAATTTCGCATTTCGCCTGCTCACCCCCGGCCAGTACGAGGACCTAATGATGGTGATGGCGATGCTGACGATTGCACCTGTTTTTTCTTCCGATTGCGACGATTTTTTGGCCTTTCTTCGTGTTCTACACCACGCACTGCTCCTTTGCCTGCTGGAGCGATTGCCCGTGCCAGCGATGGCACGATCGTCCGCGGGCGTTTTGGCGCGCGACATAGTGGCCATGGCGTGGGTGCTGGCCCCGGAGCAGGAGGGTTGGCAAATCACCCATTTCATCGTGAATCGCTACCTGTCGCTTGTATCCAGGGGACCAAGCCCAATGAAACAACAAACCATGATCGAAGGCAAAGGTCTCTTTGTTGTAACAATGTAGGCTCTACATCCCCAGCTCCCCTGGCTGCCCCCAGAGCCTCTTCACTTCGATCGTCTTCCGCTTCTAAACCAAGCAGCATGTATCCCGTTCCGCGTAGAGTGCATTTTGTCGACGGAACGACGCCAAATGGTGAAACCACTTCCGTGCCTCTACCTTCTTATATCCGACACCCGCATCTCGCGCCACCAGTGCCTAGAGTTGATCTGTCGGTGGGGCAGCAGTCTATTGTGATGGGCAGTGTACCGGCTGTTGATGGCAGTGGGCTTGGGGAGTCTACATCGCCGTCTTCATGTGCCACGAGCATTGGAACCCCGTCTTCCACGAGCTGTCCCGGCTCCTCAGCTGTTTCTACAATTGCTGACGATAGCAGGCCATGGGAGTATTATACATTTATGGGCTGGCTTTCAGAGTGCTGCGGATTGTGGATTACCCATAGGGTAAATCAAGGTAGCTGGGTATATACGGGAGATGGGGCGAACGACGGTGTGGAGCGTCGAAAGTGGATTAATTTGAAGGAAATTTGGAATCGAGGACAAAGAGCGTCGAGACCGTGGATTCCAGCTTGGGGATGGTCGGCCTTTTAGCTCTATGCTGGTATTTGGCATGTTTGGTTTACATGGGCTACTTGGACGTTAACCCCCGTTTTGGCTGTGAAGCCGGCATTTTTAGGGGATAAATAAGGCTGAGCTCATGGTTTCCTTGCTATAGCCGGCTGATTCATAGTAGAAATAAGGCGTGACTCCAACTAGGGAGCGGCTGAAAAGGACCCAGCTAATAAATAAGAATATTTATTAATACTATATCCCGTGCGATGGTACATAGCATGCTATCATGACAAGATCTTCAACGAAATGGAGGTGCTCGGCTGCTATGCAAAAACTCCAAATGCATAATGCTGCTCGGAAAAAGATAAAACGGACAGACATCACTATAGCAGTTCAAAAACAGCCAAATTGCTCCCCGTGCAAGCAGCGGCCAAGCTTTCGAAAGATTATGTGCAAAATCTCAACGGCTAGAAGTAAACGCACCTTATATGCAAGAGCAATGCCCTGGTGCTTGGGGCCTGTGCTGGAAAAGAGTCTAAAGAGGAGTATATGTTTACAGACCAGAAACGCGGTGTAAATAGCGGTATTCTCTTGTCTTTTTCATACTCCCCCCTTTTCCTCATAGCCCTACAAAGAACCTCGAAGCTTCCTCTAGATATTTATCACCATTTGCAAAATCCCATCCAACAATGATATGATCCTGGCTTGCACAAATCAACTTTCGGGCGTCGAATTGCAGCTTGAAGATTCTGGTGTTGGCCGCGGCGTGATGCGGCCGTACGATGGTTTCTGCAGCGGGAAGCGGACCGATGGGTGGATGGAGAGCAGGCGGTTGGGGCTGGGGTTGGAAATTGGGTTGTTGAGGCTGTGGCTGAAGGAGGGTTGGTTGTGGATGGGTAGCGGTTGATGGTAGGGTCTGATTCTGAGAAGAAGCAAGGATGGGAGCAAGTTGAATGTGGGACGAGGTCTGGGGAGGCTGTTGATTTTGGGATTGCGGCTGCTGTTGTTGTCGCTGGGATTGCAGGGATGCAAATGCGTTTGGAGAGGGAAGCGGCATTGATGCAGGGAGACTAGCTTGAGCCGCGGGGGTGCCTGCTGTGGCGGCAACTGCATTGACCGCCTGTGGAGGCATATTGAATGGACTGTTGTCTTCGGATGCGAGTTGAGGCGTTCTCTGGCCTGACTGAATGCTTGGCCCGATGGCATTGGTGAGAAACTCGGTGGCCAAAGATTCGTCAATCACCGACGCTGCCCGAGCGGCATCTGTTTGGCGCAATCGTTGGCCAACGACCCATTCTCCTTTCTTGTCTCTCCTCCATATAATTATTGATTCGTCATAGGAGCCAGAGACGATCCGGGCCCATCTGCTTCCACCACCACCGGGTGGAATCTTCGCCCCCAGAGCTTTGATATCCTGAGGGCGCCTCGAGCCTGTGCTTCGCATCCGGTTGAATCGTTGGCGAGTCGGTTCGTGATGAACGTCGCCGCGACGCCGGGCTTCATAATACTCATGGTCAACTGCCATGGCTTCGAGTCTCAATGTTTCTTCGGAGCCTGGAGGGTCACCGAATCCGGCTTGAAGTGTTCGCACTAGATCATCATGGGCCGGTAGGCAGGACACTTCTGCGCCGGATATGCGATCATAAATGCGCACGGTGAAATCATTGCTGCCGCTTATTATCCGCTGGCTATCAAACTGAACACAGGCGATTCCCTTTTGGTGTCCAACCAAGGTTTTGAGGCAAGTGCCGCTGCGGATATCCCATACCTTGATAAGGCGATCTCCAGACGCCGAGACAATCTCGTTGTCATTGATCTGTATTGAATTTACGGCGGCTGCATGTCCATCAAGCGTCATTAGTAGGCTATATGGCAGTAAAGTCTTAATTTGTTCATTGGCAATTTGGGCCTCTAGAGCCGATGGAGGCATGCTCGATGTGTCCACAATATAGGATGGATATCGGACGCCAACTCCATTGAAATAGGTGGGATAGTCTTCATCCGAAGCGCGAAGTTCCCGGCGGTTCCAGATTTTGATGAGTTTATCTTTCGAGCATGTCACCAAATATCGCTTGTCAAACCTCAAACTTAACACGGAATCAAGATGCGCATGAGTTAATTCGTGCAGTTTTTCACCGGTGGAAAAGCGCCAGATGATCACGTTCCGGTCGCTGCTGCCAGACATGATGATATCCTCTTCCTGACTCTCATCAAACTGTAAACATAGAACTGACCCATTGTGCCCAAGCAAGGGAGGGCATCTGAGC